TGTATGTACTATCTGTAGTAAGTGTAACACTCAACAAAAAAAGGCCTAAGTCATTATGATGAATGGAGAAGAAGTGTTTTCCATTCATCATAGTGTTTTACATTGAGCACATCAGTGTTCAACTGGTTCTTATGAATGTCTATTCATATGATTTGTGTGTGTCATTTGAAAACAAAATACCATTTTGAGAAGAAATAATATTGTTTTGAATGTAAAGTTTTATTTTGCAGGAGAATTGAGTTGTTTTGCCCATTGTGTGTGATTTGTGTGTAGAGTTCTGAGAATATGAGGCATTATTTCAGAAAATGTGTGTAAACAATCGAGGAAAAACTGTGATTGACTCGGTACAAAAATGTAGCAATGTGCCTTATTACCACCAGAGTGCACTGCAAGGCTGAGATACAGCAAAATATGACCAGAAGTGGCATCTGTCTGTCTACCTATGTCTCTTATTGATTGGTGATGAAATTGCCTTTGAAGCATCACATATCATATTACTTTAAAGCATAATAACAACACCACTGTACACTCATATATGTACCAAAACATGGAAATTTAATATGGCAATCATGAAGAAGTAGGCCAATCTGTGTTTACGTGTGTATTTAGACTCCACGGTGTTAGTCTTTTTCAGTATAGTTGGCAGCACTGCTGTTAGTGTCAAAGAAGCATTCCAGCATTTTAAGAACTACGCATTCTTTAGTTATCATCAATATCAGGTTCATCAGTGCAGAGATGTGGTCCAAGATGTGTTTAGCCTAGCCAAAGTCAAAGCAAAACTAAGTTTATTAAAACTTTATTTTTTTATCTTGGAATATCAGTTCTATCAGTGAAGTAATCAGGGACGTCACTTGGATTGAAAGACAGGGGGGGGCTTAGCCCTCAGGGAACGCGTAGCTTGCACTTGCAAAATCTTTGCACTCGCTTTACTTTTGTTGCTGTAGAACTACACTTATGTCAACAAGCAGTGAAGAAGCCAAGATGTTAATAGAAAAAAAGTGAACAGACATACTCTGTCCTTCCATTTCTCCTCTGTTGAACAAACATTACTGTAATGTTACATGCACGTCAGAAGCAAGAAAAAAGTGGGTTACTCTCTGAATTTAATAACCTGATTGTGGAAGGAATAAAAGATTTGGAGTAATGATTACTATATGTATGGATACATGTATGTATGATTGCTTTTATTTTATTTTCCTGTGTGTATATCTGTGGGTATATGCACATGTATGGCCTACCCATTTAGGCAACATCTATATATCTATTTAATTTATTACAGCCAATAAATGCAGAAAGTTAAGTTGGTCAGAATATAGCAAATATAATTAACATCATGAAATAATTTAGTTTAGGCTTTGCCTTGTTGCCTAGACCTGCCAACAATTGTCTGTTGTTAGAAGAAAACAAAACAGCCCACATTTCCTTAAAACTGTAGGCCACAGACTTACTGACCTGTAGCCCTCTGCTGACCTCAGAATCAGCTGCCCTGCCTGTGTCCTGCTTCTCTCTCTCCTAAAATATCTTCAATATCCATCTGGTCAATGAATGGAAAGATATAACAGCATCAACAGGGACGCTATGACATTTAGTTTTCACTGACAACAACATTATATGGGGACTGTTTATAATCAGGCTGCAGGCTCTGTCTGCTCTCTGTCGGCTTCTACACACACACACACACACACACAGCGCGCAAGTTGCCAACAGCTAGGTTTGTTACTGTAAGTACGTGCAATAAAACCTTTGCGAGTAAAAAGACAATACTTTATCAATACACCTGTCTGTAAGGTAAACATCTCTGAGCTCAGTCTGTCATACTGTATGTCGTGTACAAGCGCAGCTAACGTTAGCTTGGCAGTTAGCCAGATGTAAAAAAAAAAAAAAAAAAACTAACATGAAAGCTGTCAGTCTGTAGCATAGACTGGTCTGTACTCAGCTGCTGGCTGAGACAAACCAGCCGATCCTCCTTCTACCAGGTAACGTTACCTGCAGGCAGTGAATAATAGCAGAGAGGAGGAGGAGGAAGGTCTCATACCGACAATTGTCTGATTTTTTATTCTTTCTAAAAGTCCCTCAGTATTGTGATGTCAGATATTGAGTTTATCTAGTGGCTTTGCTGTTGTAAACATTAATGTTGCTGCTCTAGAAACAACATTTAGCTGTATTCAAAATATAAAATTCTAATCATATAAATACCAGGCAGTTAATATGCACACTTGAATATACATTTATTTATTGGAAGTCATATGTAATCTCATTATATAACAATGTTATCGCACATTGAATATTTTTCTCAAGCCCGTTGTGGTTGGTCTTACCAAATAACCGTCATCAAATAATAGTGAAGTATCGATAGTGGTACCGATAAAGAATCGGATCATTAAGCAGTCTCACTAAGGGTTTCATTATCAATAAAATGACGGATCCCCATCCTTAGTTAGATACTTTAGATAGATACTTTTTATTTGATTTGTTGAAATTAAAATCTGTTACAGTAGCAGCAACCACATTCAGTCCTCACACATGGACATCACAATCCATAAAGTCGATTTGTCAAAAATAAAAAGTCTAAAAATAAATAGATAAAATATTTTGTTAAGTGAACAGTAAGACATAGAAGCTGAAATATACTGGAGTCCTAGACCCAAGACAGAAATGAATAAAATATAGAATAAAACGAATAAAAAGAAGCCCAAAAACAAAACACATACAAATAGCCTATCTTATCATACCATTTCTAAAATATCAGGGTACAATGAATTCCTCAGTTATTTGATATTTAAGAGCCTAATGGCGGCAGGCAGGAAAGACTTACGATGCCGTTCTGTCTTATATTTTGGTGGGATCACCCTACCTGAAGGCGCTCAGCATATTCTCAACCGTAGTGACGGTATACCATCATGGGCATCTTTAGAACAGTGGATAGAACTCTTGCCTTTGGTGTCATTTCTGGTGTCATTGCTCTTCATGCTTTCTTTTAATTTTGGGGTGGATAAAGTGACTTCCAAATGACTAAATGTACATGAAAGAGGAAGGTTCCTGTAGAAAGTTCTCAAGTAGGTGAAACCATGTTAGCTATGTAACTATGATTCTTATCCCTGTGTGATTGTCAAATTAGCAACGTTGTTTTGTGTCTTTATATTTTCAAAAGAATGTAACCTAAGTTGTACCTTTGTATGGAGACCTAACAATATTAACAGGTCGGCCTCTGACTGGCGGCTGCTTCTGTGGAGAGAGACGCCCGATGCAGGTGTAGTCCAGAAAAAGGTTTACTGATAACTCTGAGTTTGTTAACTTGTGCGACAGCCCACTGTAGTGAGGGAGGAGAATCTGCCACTCACAGACTGGGAGCTGATCAAAAGAAAAGCATCAGCTAAATTGGTAAATGCCAATGTAATGTTAAATACACATAAAACTTGCAATATCAGTGAGGTGTAGTGGTGCTTTGACCCCAGTCTTGAAAGGCTGCTATAAGTTTTACATGCCACCAGATGTCACTGTGTTCATTCAACATTTGCTTGGCACTGTTGGGGACCCCTGCTATCAGAGCATCCCTACCTTTCCACATGTTAACGAAACTCAAAAATAGTAACATCCAACCAAACCCATATCCTCATTTTAGGTGGCAGGAATGAAAATTAGTCATCCTCAACATTTGTTGTGATGACTTTTTCCCTGGGCAACTATCATGTTTTACCAAAATGAAGCATAGATGTGTTCTTTTATCTCAAACGTCTTAAAAAATAATACTGCACATGTGGAAAAAATAATTCCCCCGACCCCCCTTGATTTGGGCTAAGCCCTGATGTTTACAGCTGCTTCTGCCCCTGGTGAAAATGTGTATATCAGTTGCCTTTTCAAGACAAATAGGTGTTTCTATGTAAAAAAAAACAACAACACACAAATTATTTTTGTTTGGGGTTTTTTGGAAGTGCCTGACTCTTGCAGCGAAGAGCTTAATTTTGTTGTTTTTTTTCACAAGATGTTGGGAAGTTACCTCTCATTTGTGTAATGGAGGATGTGTAATGGAGGATAATACATCTCTTATTTCAGAACACTTGGTGTTCTCTCCCTCCCTTTCTGAAGCTGTCCATTATTCTGAGACGTTTTTTAAATGGTAAATCGAATGCACTTGCGGAAAGCGCTAACAGCTAATTATTGTAAGATACAAGCTTAACAATTGTAATCTACAAGAATTACAGTTCTATATTAAAAACAGTAAAATAGTAGTCAAAATATATTTGCTAAATTAAAATGTTGTTTTATAATGTTGATCGGTTTTGGCAGGAATGGCATCTCTCTCATTTGAAAGTTGTTCATGAATCTGTTCGCTCTAGTAGCATGTGAATGAAACAATTTTCTCATCACTGCAAAGTCTGCTGCGACTAGGCCTATGTTCTCTACCAACCTACCTTGTTCTCCTCCTGTGATGCCACAAAGATTCAGAGCGAGAGACAAACAATTTCGCCATAACCATAGCATAACTCACTCTCAATTCTGCCTGTGTGTGCACGGTGCGAGAGGAGAGGGAGAGATACTGTGCTGCTGCCAGAAGAGCCGCTAATTAATTACAATCTAATAGATATGTGTATATTTCATCACTCTCCCTGATGATCTGAATAACTCACATGATTGTTGCTAGATACTTTTTACAAATAAAGTAACTAAGAGGGTCTGAAAAGTTGCTAAGTCTATCAAAAAAGTCAGACTACAATGAAAACTGTGTGTCAGTTACCGGCGTGTGTGAGAGAGCACAAAAGATTCAGTTGTATGAGCTCATAATTCATATTGAATATTTTGGCACAAAAAAAGACCAATGGCTAAAGACAGAATACCTGTGAACTAAAACGCAGTGGACTCGTAGTAGGTAATGAGATCTGTTAACCCTGCGTGTTCCTAATACATTGACCAGACACTGACGGACAACAGTGGTTATATTTACATGTTTTTAATTACAGTTATTGCTAAAGACAACTCAGTAGTACTCAGTAGACATGTCCCTACCAAAACAAGACCTTATAGGAGACCATGTAGGAGTTACAGTAGACATGTAGCATCTGGTCCACAGGGCTGTAGTTCAGGGAATAAATGTTGGGAGTCATCTTGTTGATGAAAACTCCAACGTTGAACCTTTCTACCCCCGTCGTGGTGTCAAATGCATAGAAGATCTCCTCCATGGTTTTGTTGACATACCGTGTTGCGTAGAGCACGCCACAGGCCATGAAGGTGTTGGTCACCCCCTGCTTGTAGACCGAGGTGTGCCAGGTCTGGCCAAGAGTCATTGGTTCACCCTCCTCCACCTTGGACAGCACCAGGTTGCCAAAGTCCTGGTTTGTGGTATAGATCACCCAAACACCTGACTCATCTGTTGCCAGGTCCAGGTCGGTGAACGGGTAGCATTCCTCAAGGTGGCAGAAGTTACCCTTTGAGTTAAACCTGAAAACAAAACAGACGACAGAAGTGATGTTTCCTTTTTAGAAATGAGAACTTGGAAAACAATGTATCAGCATCTTAGTTTCATGGACTCATTATGCACAAATGTGAAAGATAACATGACATTTTCTTTATTTTCTGTAGAAACGAGGCATTAATTCTGACATCAGCAACATCATTCAAATAATAATCTTAAAGACTGATTTGATCAGCGAACCTGGTGCCTTTGGGTAGTTGTAAGGTGGTGATAGTTTTGGTGGTGAGGTTGAATCGACAAACATCATCTTGGTTGTAACAGTTGTAGTACAAGGCCTCTCCATACAGCACAACATTCGGACCCTGGATAGTGTTGGTGGCTGGGTTAGAGGAGTGGATCTGGACATTACCTGGAAGAAGAACAAGAAGAAGCATGAGAAGGAGGCACAAACGTCATCATGAGTAAGTATTTCATCATTTGTTAATATCAAAGAAAACAATCAATAGAAGTCTACTCAACTAGTTTACCTTCCTACAGCATATGTTTCTGGGTTAAAGACCATTTAATGTCCAGGTTCAGTGAGCCAATTACTTTAATTTATTAGAACAGCTTTTCCTCCTTGCAAAAAATCTTGATGAAGCTGAGGGGAACTATTAGGTCAGGTAATAAAGCTTTAAGGGTTTGTCACTACAAGCAATACCTTTCATATTACATAAACTTCTTAGATCCATGGTTAACATAAAAATATGGATTGTTGTCAACTAGTGTTATTTAACATGTGCATGCTCACTGAGCTGATAGGTTGTACATTTCTAACATCAACACTCGAAGTAGAACACAAAAGTTCTTTACCTGGGGCGCTCACCCCAACAATGAGAGAGCTCAGGCTAGAGTAGAGACGGATGTAGTTGGCGTATCTGTTGCTGGAGGTCATCATTACCAGCCAATACCAGCTCTCCTTTCCCACCGCTGGTTTGGGATCCCGACCCCAGGCTCCATAAGCATAGGAGCCAGGGTACTCTCCTGCTGTGTACACCCTCGGGCCAGTAATGTTCCGAAATTGACCGTGGGGACATTTACCTTGGGGGGAGAAAAACATGAAATGAAGCAGAGAGAGAGAATTTGTGGGAAACTACCGCTGGTTGAGCGAGACGTCCACTGGTTGATCGTTACTTCCTAATTGTGGTGATTAGTGCTGAGAGCTTCCCACAGTGCATTTACAGGCTACATTAGCTCTTACTGAGGAGGGCCCTTCACAGCTGTGAGTGACTTCATTTGAAGTGTCACTTTCTGGTGCAGAACCAGAATGGTCTTGGATGTTGGGTGTAAATTTGCTGGAGGTTAGGGTCTGGTCACATCTGAGTTTGTTTAGGTAAAATATCAAGCAACTCATTATAATTACAAACGAGATCAGGAAGTCCATTCAGCTCATGTTGGTTAATGACAAGTGAACTATGCTGAAAAACGTTTTTGCTACATAACCAGAATCCTCAGTGCCAGTGGCAGAGAAGTGAAACATCTGGTGGTGTTTTGGGGACATACCATGTAGAGGTTGAGTGGGTTGGGTGGTGGGGAGAGGTCCATTTTTGCACCTTTGTAGTTCGCTGTTCAGATGCTTGTTGTCTCGTTGTCCTTTCACCACCTGCATGGTGTCGTATGTCTCCAGCTTCTGCATCTCTGCTCTCAGGTTCTTCAGCTTAGAAAGAACAGCAGGAACAGACATCCCAATATTTAGTCAACAGAGACTATATACTGTCTGTATATTAACAAAAATGATTGTCCTTGAATCATGGCTTGAAGTGGGCCAGCACTCAGTAGTGCCAGCAGTACTGGCACTTCTACATTATACCCTTTGGTGTACCATGATCTGCTTGCACACCAGCACTTATCACAAACAGCCAGTACAATTTTCTGACCTCTCCATATTATCTAGGCGATTCATATGGCCCTAAAACACTGCATTACCCAGGTGGTACTTCACACTCACCTGTTCGGCTTTTCTCTGTTGGTGGAGACAGAGCAGAGAGAATAGAAAGTATGCTGGGATCTCGTAGAGAATACAAGGAAACAACAGTCTCCCGGCCTAATGACATAATTGCCCTACAGTTGGGGGCCTTCAGTTCTTTTGTCCTTTGATATATCGGTTATGTGAACAATAATAGCCAGCTCCATCTGAGAGCCAATTTCAACAAAACCTACAACAATTGTAAATGTTGGTTATGTATTTGTTGAACTGCTGCAGTGTCCAAATGGAATTATTATTAAAGTAGTGGTATGCTATATGTATATATACACACACTATTTTATGAAATTATAATGAATATAGTAACATCAGCCTTAACCACAGTGTTTTTTGTGCCTTAACCTAACCAAACAAAAAAACGTATTGTTGTGATCCCAGAAAACACTTTTATTTGTGAAACTGTCGCATTGTTGAATCTCAACTGATAAGCTGTTGAAATGTTACAAATACCTTATAACTATTTGTAGCCAGACTATCCAAATAAAGTGTAGGCGATACACATGCCAACATGTAAATCAGGGGAGTACTAGCAATTTTGGTGTGATTAAAAAAGGATGAAAATAAAAACATTACTGTCTGTCAGTGTCCTTATTCATAAGACTAGATGGCAGCACAGGAAGACATTTTCAATCATGCAGTGCCTTTAAACCTTCATTAATTGAATTTGGCCACTTGGAGGCAGTGCTACAGACTGTCAACACAACAGTGACATAACATCACTTCAAAAAGTTGATATGGCTATATATGCTAGCAAACAGCCTCTATTTACCTTACATATCCAGCACAACTAAAACAATGAGCCGAAAGATGCTAAAAATCTCGATGAAGCTGAAGGGAACTATCAAGGTCAGGTAATAAAGCTTTGGGGGTTTGTCACTACAAGCAACACCTTTCATATTACATAAACTTCTTAGATCCATGGTTAACATAAAAATATGGATTGTTGTCAACTAGTGTTATTTGCGTCAGACGAAACTAAACGAAATATAATCATCAACGACCTTTTTTTCCTGACTAAAACGAGACGATGGCGAGATGGAGACTAAGTCCTTAAACAGTGACTGTGACTATCTTAATGTCCAATATTGTTGACGAAAAATGCTAAAATAAAATACTAAAAGTTTTCACTTGAACAGCGTGTTCATTCAGTTGTATTTTTTTCTTCTTGTGCTTTGAATGCTGGCCAACACCTGGTGCGGGAAGAAAACGTTACTGTACGGTGGAGGATGTGAACTCTGGTGATGAACACAACATGCTAGGGAGAAAGAGGCGCTTAGATATTTGGTCCCATTTCAAATACAGTGAGGCGGCAGGCAATGTGGTTTTAAGATTTGTTGAAAAACACTACAAACTTGAAGTGGCATACCAAGGCTAGCCACCGGGAATTGAGTAACGTCACCTTTGCAATAAAAAAGAGAACAAAGCTAACATTCAAATGTTATAAAACATTTTATCTATATGTGAGATGAGTGAAATAAAGACTAAAAGGATACATCTCTGTTTTGGTCAGAGCAGATTGACCAAAATGCTAATCAAAATTATACTAATGAGTTAGAAAAGACTTAAATGATGATTAATGAGTAAAACTAGACTAAAATACTTTTGATTTTCTTTTGACTAAAATCAAACACCCAGACTTTTAGTCAACTAAAACTTAATTAATAAAATTGTATACAGTGGACTAAATATGACAAAAACTAACAAGGACATTTGACACAGGACTAAGACTAAGAATAACTTTTAAAATGGCTGACACAATTAACACTACAGTCAACTATGAAACTGCACCAATTTTGTCTGTTTACAGGATTAAGGCATTATTTCTTCATATGTGTAAAAAGTTTTTTGTTGCTCCAAAGGGAGCTGCATGAAATGTGATAAAATGCCTCAAGTGATGTCAATTAAATCAGTGGGGCTTAAGACGCTTGAAATTAAAAAAATATGGTGGTGTGTGACAAGTGATCTTGACAGACCTTTGTAGACCTCTTATTTCATCACTCACTCACATTCACTTTAGGACGCTGCTGCTCTTGAATAGTGCTATATAAGCGACTTGAGGTAGCCCCTACCAGCACAACGCACTTGAATTTTCTGACCTTTCTGAACTTTTGGCAGTTAGAGGTGCATTGTGGATAATGCTGGTACCAGGTTTTGACATGAATGAAGAATGATTGAAATATAAGAAACTATATCTGTGGTTCAGCTGCACATATTTCTATATAAAAAAACTTTCCATTATGAGTCAGACAATGTTGTAATGGTGAAATGCTAAATTGCTGGAGTACTCTTTTAAAGTAATGAGTGCATTGCAACAGTATCAACAGAAACTTTCTTTCTTTAGTGTCTTACTGTGAAAATGTAATAGGTGAAGATTTCCAATAACAGTGTACAGGAAGAAATTACTTAAAGCCAGACATTTTAGTAGATTGCATGGTCATAACTTCTGCAGATTTGCACATTTCATTGTACAGTGCAGAAGAAGTCTTAGTGCTCCTTTTTTATTATACTAGATATTTTCATGTTGTTGGGGTTTTTTTTGCTATATATACCGTAAATAAATATACATTTTGAGCAGACTTGCGCACAGGCGCTGCCTTCTTGAATGGTGTCAGTGTTGAACAGCTGGTGCTTTGTGAGTCTACCTGTTCAGTGGTGTCAGCAGTCAGACCCTGGTGTGCCTTGGTGGTGCTGTTGAGCCTGTCAATGAGCTGCTTGATCTCCATCAGTTCATTCTCTATCACATACAGGCTGAGAACTGCGTAGAGGTCTCCGTCATCCTCCCTCTCCAGCATCGACACATCTTCCTGCAGCTGGGGCAGACGTCGCTCCAAACCCAGCAGCAGACTCTCCAGCTCCAGAGTCTGCAGAGAGAGCAGGTAGACTCTGTGTTCACACATACAGGAGTCTGTTTTACAGCTGTTGAGTTTGTGTTCTTTACAGTCTGGTTTAGAAAATAACATTAACTAGTTACCTTCTGTGGGGTGATGTTGCTGTTGCATTTTGATGCATTGCCCTCCACTGTGCTGAGTTTGTCATGAGGGAATGCCTTCTCTGAATTAGTCAACTCACACGTACACTTATTTTGTGAAGATGCCTGAAATCAAGAATATCAAACATGGAATGTAAAAATAATACAAAATACCACATTTAAATATTTCTACATTTGAAATGGACATTTGTCATAAAATTTAAGGAGATGAAAGTAATTTTACAAAAGTAATAATAATCACTGTATTCTCAGTGTTTTCATACCTGTTGGATGATGGTGAACAGAGCACACAGTAAAAGGATCACATACAGCTTCATGGTCGATCAGAGAGCAGCACTAAATGAAACAGTCCCTGAACTCAGTTTGAATATGACTGTCTGTCCAGCCTTTGAACACTCCCACTAACCTCTGCATGTGAGTGAGTGAAAGTGCATATGTGTTGTGTGCCTGATGTTTTCATCAGAATATAATTACTTCCTCCTTGGAGGGAGGGAATTGTTCCAGGACCTTTTTTCTTATTGTGAAATTACTTGTGGAAATGCCCAGTCTAGTGGAGTGGATTAGGGTTAGAGAGATCCCATATTCCCCAAATCCCAAATAGAGACAGAAACAGATTACTTAATACCATAATTAATATAGTGATTGTGGAATTCATGTATTTATAACTGTTTTGGCAAAGTAAATCGATTTTGTTTATACTGGTGACAAAACATAATTTTAGATCTCCCTATTTAGAAGTGTATAATCAGAAACAAGTGTTGCCCTCTGATACTCAGAGATACCTAAGGTGCCCGTTTATCTCAACCTGAGATAAATAGATGTTTTTTTACTGCTCGTTCAGATACAGCAGACAGTCTATGGAGGCTGGAGGTTGTTGGTCCCTCAGTGATGTAACTGGATGATGGGAAGGGAATCCAAATGTGGAAGGGAAGCAGTGACTAACACCTGCCTTTGGATTGTGGGTTTGCAGAGATGTACATCTATTCTTCATCTATTCTGAAGATGTGGTTACAGATTCAGGAACAGAAAGTTACTATTCTGCACTGAACACACAAAATATCCAGACAGCATTTAAATGAACGATTCATTCTACAGTTTGTGTTATAAACGCAATGTGTCTAATTTAATTTTAAATGGGTTTCCTTGTAGGCTGTAACTTACATCATTTTCACTGGCTGGCACAATTGTTGTTGGATGTTTAATGGTGATACTGTGTTACATTCTTTATGTGTGATAACTGTGGTGTCATGGTTGTATGTATTTCTATGTTTTGGAGAAGTCAAAGACAAATGCCAAAGCCACCACATAGGGGACCACATTGGTAAATTCAGGGATGATTCTGTTTTACTCCCGTTTTATTGAATCGGTTCTTATCATCTTCTTTATCTGCTGGCACGGGTCACTTTCTGTTAAACAGAAAAATCGCCTGCAAGCTATTGTGAAGGTGTGCAACAAATTGCTCATCCACCCTAGAATGACCTCATGACTACTACTTGGTCATGTCCTTAAAGAAAGTGAGAACAATCTTGGCTGATCCAAGCCGTCCCTTGTGGGGCGAGTTCATGTTGCTACCATTATAAGAGGTGAGAAAACAGTGTTTGGGGGGAAGGAATGTGAGAACTAAGAAACGGGAGAGAAAGGATTAGGCAGGTTTATATACATATGTGCTGGTGATTGAAATGAGTGAAGCACGGGTGGTTGGACCGGAGGAATTGAATGAGGCGCAGGTGGTCGAATTAGTAAGAGAGAGGCGTGGTCCTGTTCCTGAACTTTAGTTATATAACTCCATAAATGGAAGAAGTTTGGAACTACCAGGACTCTTCCTAGAGCTCGCCTCCCGGCCAAACTGAGCAATCAAGGGAGAAGGGCCTTAGTCAGGGAGGTGAACAAGAACCTTATGGTGACTCTGACAAGGCTCCAGCATGTGTCTGTTAAGAGAGAGAAGAACCTTCCAGAAGAACAACCATCTCTGTAGCACTCCACCAATCAAGCCTGTAAGGTAGAGTGTCCAGACGGAAGCCACTCCTCAGTAAAAGGCACATGTTAGCCCGCCTGGAGTTTGCCAAAAGGCACCGGACGAACTCTCAGACCATGAGAAACAAAATTCTCTGGTCTAATGAAACAAAGATTGAACTCTTTCGCCTGAATGGCAAGCGTCATGTCTGAAGGGAACCAGGCACCGCTCATCACCTGGCAAATACCATCACTATGTGAAGCATGGTGGTGGCAGCATCATGCAGTGGGGATGTTTGTCAGCGGCAGGAACTGAGAGACTAGTCAGGATTGAGGGAAAGACAAATGCAGCAATGTACAGAGACATCCTTGAAATAGCAATCATTCTGATTATAGATTAATAGTGAAGTGAGGTCTTGTAGTCTGGTGTGCATTTTAATCAATGTTGCAAACAAGGCCTACTGTCACACTCTGCATTTCTGTCTCTGTTTTCCCCCACACTCGCTCTCTCTCTCCCTGCCTGTGTCTCATTAGCCTCATGTCTTTCACCTGTGTTGCTCCCGCCCTGCTCGTTAGTCCCTGTGTGTGTATATATACCTGGTGTTTCTGTCTTGTCTTTGTCGGGTCATTGTATGTTGTCACCCAGTGTGGCAGTTTGTTCTTGTGTCTTCAGCCTTACTCGCCGTGTCTCGTTGTTACCCTGCTCAGTTTTTGGATTCTGGTTTTCACCCTTTTGGATTTCTGTTGGACAGCCTTTGTTTTGGGATTCTGTCAGCAGCCACTCAGTTTGTAAGTGTGCTCGCCTTTTGTTTGTTTATTAAACCACTGAACCATACCTGCTCCGCTCTGTGTCCTGCTTTTGGGTCCTCCAACCTGCTCCACCCTGCTCCACCCTGCTCCACACCACCGATCGTGACACCTACGGGTGAACACACCTGCTTCTGGGCCCTGGCACCGCCTGCACTGGCGGTAGTTATGTGTGTGGGGGTATCACTAAATTGCCTGTGCATTGCCGGATTTATTTCCATATCCAACATCCTAACTTTTATTGGTGTAAACCATTATTTAGCAAATATTAGCTATACATATTAAATTAGCTACCTGTGTGTAAATACTGTATGTTTCAGGGCACTAGTTTCAGTTGCTTGCCAACTATTTGCCACCTACTTAGGGACACAAGCTATATAATTTTGTTAATATATTGAGTGAAGTAGCTAATGTAGTGTTAACTTTGGGAGAGATTGAGTTGAAAAGAAATGTGAACTTCCTGAGTTACATTTTTGCCTGTGATAAACAATGACGAGACTATGCTATGTAGCTAATGTGTAAGCATGCATGTGTCAGCTGCATACAGCTCCTTGCATACACCGTTGCAAATATGAAGGAGCAAATATGGAAGACAAGAGTCAAACAGAAAACCTAATGCTTGCACAAAATTGTATTGTGTTAGGTGGATGGTAAAGGAGGTTATATAAAGATGCCTAAGTTGATTTCAGCTCTTGGTGTTTGTATGTAGGTGCTGTTATGGGAATGTGGATCTTTCAGATCAATTTGAGGGCTAGAGGGATCCTCTATCAGGGTGGCTTTCCTGATCACAGAGCAATTGTACAGTTCAAATCAGGGGTTTTTAAATCACAACAGTCTATGGAGGTTGTTGGTCCTTCAGTGACATTAACAGGATGATAGGAAGGAAATCTTAATTTGGAAGGATAGACGTTGACTAATATCTTTTCGGGTTTGCAGAGATGTACATACAGTATCAATTATGAAGATGTGGTTACAGATTCAAGAACAGAAAGTGACCATTCTGCACTGAGCACACAAAATAGGCAGTGAAAAAACTCCAGACCCAGACTGCAGCGTTGACATTGAATGTTTAATTATGTGTGTTGGGTTATACACGCAATGTGTTGTGTAATAACTACAGCATTTGTTCTGCACACTAAGCTCTTTCAATAGTACAGTAAGTGCATTAAAATGTTGCAGACTGAATTATCACTCTCATGTTCCAGACAGATACTTCAGTAATTATCACAGGTTGACAATCCTTTCATAAGACAGGTGAATGAACACAACTAGCTAGCACCTGTTTTAGAATATTTAATACGGATATATTGATTGAACCATGGCACATAACAGCTTATCTTATTTTGGCTTTGCTTGCTGATGAATTAAGCAGCATCCTTTTTCTTCTGATTTGTACATGCATAAGAAAGAGAATGGGCCCTTGGACTGCATATGCACAGGGTCTGGTGTTGATGTATGGGATAATTAACGCACAGATGAAAGGGGGAAGGAGTGAGATAACATCCTGGACATAGAGAACTGACACTGAGCACTACGCATTACAGTAACTAAGAAGGGAAAACTTGTTTTAGCAATTTTAGCATTTATCGTTATGTGCAAATTACTTGCTAATACACGTACTTGAATGTCCCTGTAGAAATTGCATTTTAATAACACTCACAAGACAAAAAGGTTGAGACTGTACTCTAAATAGAGGTTATGCATCTAAACCTCCCAGCAGTCACATAGACGTATTAGCTGTGAGATTCCTGACAAAGGGGAGCAGGGAAGAGCTCCAGTTTATGCAGTTACTGAGGCATTTCACCAAATTCTGTGTCATACCAAAATTTCCTTCAATAATTTAAAAAAATGTTGCCAACCCCGTCAAATCTGAAACATGGACCAATGCAAGCACTTTCTGGGTCAGCAAACCACTATCCATTATCCAGGTCCTTTACCGCTCCTGATCAGAAATAAAGTAGGCTTATTGTCATACCTGAATATTATTATTGATT